ATTTTGATTTCATTCCTTTAAGTCGCACGCTGAATCCCTTTTTTTCACACCTAAGATGTTTTTGACTAGTTATTATGACTTTTTGTCAATACACACCAACAAACCACACCAAATAAGAAAGTAACATATAGTAACCAACATTAGCTTTAGAATCGCAACCAGATTCTTTAAAATATTTGATGGTGATTTTCCTCTAAAACAGTGTTATTAGCTTCCTTTATAGTAGTAACGCCATGGAATTTAGATTAACGTTTTCTTGCCATCACCCCATGCAATTGGTACAGCCGTATCAAGCATCATTATTTATGCTAATATCATGTGACGCTAAACGATCTTTAATTAAGATAATTTCATGAAATGTAGTAAATTTGTGCTGAAAAGTTGGCAATAAATAATAACCGTCCATCCGTTTGATTCCTTTGAAAACTTGAGCTAGAAACTGCTAATCTAGTTTGCTTGGCCTAACCAATAATAATGTATCTTCACGACCTTATATTTTTGCTTCTCTAAATCAGCCGTCTTTAACCTGAATGACAAAAAACTAAAAACGGTTCACTTTTACTGTTAGGTGAAGCTGTAGTAAAAATGTAAAAATGACGTGATTTTGTGCGTAGGCGTGCGCAAAAATATTCATTAAATTTGAGCGGTTTTTGTTGAATAACTTTGCACAAGTGACTTTTAGTTACACCAACTGATACTCCTATCTGTAGGTTGTAAATATCTGTCAGCGTAGCAAATTTGAAGAAAAAAAAAAACATGTTTTTCTATCAAGTAAGGTGGGGGGAAAAAAATAATAAGAAGAAACTCAATCAAAATTGAAGATGTCATACCTCAGGTATTTCATAATGGATTATCTTGAAATTTGACATGTGAAGTAAGAGTCCAGCAGAGCACATCCACTGAAAATGTGTGATAGTTTGGATTACCACAGTATGAGCTACAGGAGGGGAAAAACCGCTAAACCGCTAAACTATCACTCCTGTTAATAACACACAGTGTGTCCTGCAGGCTGTAGGCCCGGCATGGCCAGGTGGTTAGGGCGCTCGACTCGCAATCAGAGGGTCGCGGGTTCG